CGATTATTCTATCGGCAAGGTTGGGTTCTACCAGAACGCCAACACCGGCCTGAACGCGAGTCGTGATATCAAGGCCTGAGTCCAGCGATTCCTCGCAAAAAATCCATTTCAGGTGGTTGTACACGGGATCGAAGATTTTCAGCCATAATCCACGATTTATGATCAAAGGTTAGCATTAAGATTAAAATTCCCTATAATATTGACAACTTCTCTTCGGATTCAATCCTGTCTGAAATTTAACTAAGTGGAAAAAAGGAGGGTTGGGGACAGTGACAAAGACCTATGTGAACTGCCATATTGTATGAGGGAAAAATAGAAAAATCTCCAATGGATTCGTAGGAGTCTAGAAAACGAAAATGACTGTTTGACTCATTTCGACAGCGATGGATGGAATGTTTAGTAAAAGTGTTTTTCAAAGTAGCCTCTCGATATCGTCTTTATCTGACCAGAAAACGACTTTTCATTAGTTCAAAATAATTTGCGGAATCGATAAAAAATTTACTGCAACGCATGCATTATGAAATCGATATCAATATACTATAGGGTGGTTGCCTAATGAAACAGGAAACAACAGTGCTTACCTTACTTTATAATGCCACTATGAATGGTTTGCCGTTTTTTATACGGGTGCCGCATAAAAACTCAAGATATGTTTTAATGTCATATAACGAGAATTAACATCATCTCTAAAAAAAAGCTCCGCGATAAGCAGTCAAAACTCTAGTCAATAACGTGATATGAAATACATATACACGTAAAGGCACTAAAATATAATGGTGAGAAGGAACGGACTAAGCACCTATAAACAAGGAGGGTGGCAGTGCCGCAACTTGATTCAGTCGCTACGTGCTAGTTAAACTGTTTTATTACGATTGTAACTGTCCATTTTCAGTTATATTGAACAAAAGTGTTTCGACTCTGTCAACTATCACCTGCTAAAGTTGTACAAATCAATATTTAACGTTTTTAATGAAGAAGCCAGAAAGTACGACTACTGTGATTTAAATCCCACTTCACAATCTTACATCTAAATTCCACGATCAAAGTAAGCGTCACACAGCAACGCTAGAGCTAGAAACACACCATGTAGTGGTCGGGAATATCAAACCCCAAGCTAATGATGCAGTGGCATTCAACGATTCAGTTTTATAGACCCAACGTCAATATGCAGGTAAAAGGCACGCGAATGCGAATGTAAACGAGAAAATCAAAAAGCAATTTTTTATCAGCATACAATCAGTGTGGTGAAATCTTTGATTAGGATGTCTACTTTCTGATCTAAGGAAGACCCATAATGGGCGAAACCAAATAGGCACGGAAGACCATGTATGATAAATGGAGAAAATAGAACCATTCGTACCGTTTGGTCGGCTAAGACCCGGAAAACCTGCAACGTTGCCAAAACATATATTCGCGTCGTTATTACTCAAATTGCAAGAACAGAGGCTGACATTTGAGTGCCCAGTTTTAAATTACTAGGCCTTGCCGTCTGCTACAGGTTCATTGCTTACGTCTAAGACGTATAATAAATATTTAGCCGGTATCTATACTCATCTGAGGGCCCCTACAAAACAAGAGCGGATAAACAAAGTTTGTTCGATAAGTCAGAGGAAATAATACCTTAAAATCCATGAACTTTGCATCGAATCCAAGCTTTTGAACGATCCTGGCGTATTTTCTGGCTGCCAGACGCGACAAATCCTCGGATTTGGCACCAGTGCACACCATTTTCCCAGAACTGAAGATCAGAGCGGTAGTTCGTGGGTCTCGAATCCGCATGATTACCGCCGCAAAGCGTTTTGGGTTGTATTCGGCGTTTCGGGCATGCAAAGCAATTTTCTTCAAGTCCAACTTGCATCCTAAAGTACAACAACGAAAAATTACTAAAACAACAGGCTTGACTAAGCAGAATTACATTCAATTATTTCTCGTGCCTCATTTATAGGTAAACCCTACATTTCTGCCTCTTAATTCGATAAATTATTAATGATTTAATTTAAATTCAGTACTTCGTTCACCCGAAGGACACATCTTTACTGCCAAGAATAAACATAAACAGCTGAATTAAAAGTTTCGAAGAATTACTAAAGTTCAAGGGTGAAAGAAAAATACAACAGCCATCCAACTCTTACCGTAAATACATCAATAATAATTAACTCATTAACGCAGATAATTACTGCATCGTCTCGTTTATCTCGTGCTATCATTATCTGTCGCCACAAGCTTCCGCATTTTTCATTTACCTCATCGTCCATTTGAAGTGAGGACCTTCAACTGGGTGTCTGAGCCTCTTAGCCAGCAATCGATTATTCGTTAGTAGTGCGACATGACCTACAGACTGTCGTTTTCTTCTTGCGAAACAGCTGCTACATTACGCATAAGCCTTCGTAAGCCTTATTATTTCTTAATTTCGCAGATTTTCCTTCACGGAAATTCCTAGCATTCCTTTTTCCACAGCGCACTGCTACACTCTTGACAGTTATTCATAATTTTTCGTTAATGTACAGATCTCTGAGCCATAAGTGGTGCCAAACAATGTACTTCTAAACTGCATTAAAAACTGTTTCTAAGAATGTTGACATTTTCTGTGCATGTATTCCATGCCAACGACGCCTTCTAGCGAGTCCTGGACCAAGGAGTGCTCTATACGATTAGCCTATCCTATATGGACGTATTCAATGGCTTCTATTTGTTCATGATTGATGAATAAAGTAGCTGGTTGTGCGATTTGGTTTCGGATTATTTGCATTTTCGTCTAGCTTATCCGAATCCAACTTGTTTGTTCTTTAACTCTTGTTCACACAGAATGGCTCCATCACTTTTTGCTTTCGTTCCGAACAGCACGAAATCGTCTGTAAAAATCGAAGATCAGTAAGCCGTCTACCATTGATTGAAAAACTCCATCTTATTTCATTTTAAGAAATACTGACTGAATATACGCGGTAAACAGCTTGGGTGTTTGAGAAAAAACACAATACTGCATCTGATTAGCAAAATTAAGTTAATCGATTTCCGGTTGCAGGGGGACTACCGACCCTCATATCGGTTTGAAGTGTCAACTCATTATGAACATAAATGCAGCTGATTCCGAAAATGCAGCACACTACACAGAAACGCGGGGCAGAAAGTCCAGCTCTTCAGAGGTGGAACATCTATTCGGGCGAATCATCATTTAAACGGTGGGAAAGAACTGACAAATCAGCACCCACCGCGATGTCGTGACAGGCGCATGAACGATGAGCAACGGGTTGATGGACAATATGAAAAGCCAGTGGCGGCTTTCAAGCTTTACACCCGTATCACTGGTCAGAAACACCAGACGCTTCTCGTGCTCAATCAGAGATACTTAAACAATATATCTGAAGATAAGCTCAATTATTATGAGTACGTTCGTCATTTTGATTTGCAGTGCACAAAAACACTTCACTGTTGGCAGATTTCATTGGTAACAGACTTTTGAGAAGTGATAAACAAAATGTAAGACTTCTACAAGGAATATCATATGAAGCTTAAATACGATGCTTTATCTAATTTTAATCATCGTTTTAAAAATAATGGAGCTCTCTACCACAACATAAAGATCTTCGTGGTTTGTACGTCGTTTATCGTTCAGCAAGAGCAGTCGTTTTATATACCCTGTCATTTCTGGAAATACATGCGGCGAAACAAAACAATTGTCTATGTGGGTAGGAGTCCATCAACATCAAGCACTGAGCCAATTTCTGCTCTCGATAATGACACGCGATAAGATTTGCAGGATGCCGCTATACACTGCAGATAACAATGTGCTAAGCAATGAAAGCAGACAAGCGGTAGAGACTAAAACAGGCATGGAGAGAAGAGTCCTCGAGAAGAACGACCTTAAGCCTCGCAAAGCAAGTTCGATAATGAGATATTTCAGTGGGGAGAGACAAAGAATCAGTGAAAGTAGCGGGATGATTCTTTTCAAACTAAAGAATTATAGCATCTTGCATCCGTCCTTTATAACAATTGGTAAATCGAATGCGAATTAAGAAATCTGTCAAAAGCGTGGTTCAAAATGAACAAAGAAACAGGTAAGTGACGAACTCTGCGAAAAGAAACTGCCCATCAAACTAAATGAAAAGATGTACAAAAAGACAATAAGACCAATCCTACTGTACGTAAAAGAATGTTTGGCTACGATGAGCAACGCTTAACTTGGCAGAAATGCCTGTGTTCAGATTGATGAGTGGTGTCAGCAAAAAGGACCATATCCAGAACATCTTCACAAACAACGCTTTAGATATAACACCAGTGTCAGAACGGCTGAAAGAAAGCAGATTCCACTAATTTGGCCACAACAAATATCCAACGAGCTCGTTGTTAACGTCGTCCAAGCAGAGACAGCAACAGAAAAGAATAGAAAAGGGAGACGAAAGGAACAGTTGTGCGATGGCCTTAAGAATTGTATGAAACTGCAAACGGTGACCGAAGACTTGATCAGAGACTAAAGATGTGGAGTCGTTTGAGGTGTCATTTATCTGATTCCCTAAAGGAACATGACAGAAAGATATAATCCACAGTCATCGTATCAGGCCATTCTTCCCTGAGACGATTTCTGACACTTTTCATAAGCTGGTTAACAGCTTATTCCTGCAAGACCCACTGGCAAACGAGGTACATGCTCTACACTGCAAACTTGACCAATATGTCACGTGTCCCTTCCACAAGAGATACAACGCGTTGGCTTATTTATACTCCAGTAACGAGCTTCACTAAAGCGCAAAATTTAAATCGTTCGATTGCAACAGGACAACTGGCATGGTTAAATTACGTTTCATACTGTCCGTTTCGATTTGTTTTATTCAGTAGTGCCACATTCTTTGTGAGGTTGTAGTAATATACTGCCTTATGACACCCGGAAGCAGCCGTTTAGAAATCTAATAATTTATTCTCTTGCTCTTAACTTCTAAATTCAATTTTGCAGAAAAATCAATTAATTATTCTTTTCAAGCAGTAAAGCTTACCTATTGCCACGGTTATTTGGGGATAAGGGTCAAGGACAGAGTACCCAGGTTATTGATCTAAATCCTACTTAATAATCAAAATCAATCAATGAATTTTACAAAGTGCTTTGATTACGTAAATAAATTCGTTCATTCCATAGTTCTGGTCACTTATCATTATTGTCTATAATCCGTGTCATACACACCGAGGTTAACGGTCGAAACTATGTTCTGTAGTTGTGGAACAGGGATGTTCGAATCTGACGCAGGCGTCGGCGGGATAAACGCAGGAATGCTGCCCACTGAACTGGATTGGACCGACGACAAACCATGGTAGCCGGGTATCGACGAGACATTGGGCGTCATTGGAGGGAAAAGCGGCTGAATGCGAGGAAACTCCGCGACACTCGGCGGTTTGAAC